GGGAGAGTTGAAAACACTGACCCCCGGTCCGCGGACCCCTCCATGGACCACCTTCACGGACCACCAATGAAAACATTGCAAATGCCAAATAATAGATTTGACAAGAATTATTTTGCATTTGCTCATCCAATAAAGGGTGTTATGCATGCTAGTCAATTGAAACGCTCGCTTCCCAACCCCCGGGAAAAACCGCGAATTTAATGATTGAGTGGCGTTGAAATAAGACGTTTACCCCAGGCACATTCATTGGTAAAATCCCCGCTAGACTTGTCCCGCTATTTTGGTCTAGTAGTAAATAACAAAACAAACACCTTTCAGTCAATTTTTTTACTACATTGAGGCTATGGACTGTGTAATAAGTTTCTTTTAAAAAATTTTCATACAAGGAAAAATAAACAAATACAAAACAAGGTTGAATACCTATGCTTTCAGAGTATTTCTCAAGATTGGTCGACCTCTACGGTTTCCAGGCTCATAAATGTCCAAATGAGATTTAAAATCCCTCCCCGCTTCAAAAACAATTCATCAAAATCCAGACCCCCGGCCAATCCTGCTGATAAAAGCATGTCACTATTTAATACTCCGCTAGTTCTGGGAGTTGGGGACGGGGTTTTCAATTGACTTGTGCATTAAGTTAATGATTTTACCTTTGTCACGTCAGTCCTCTACACGTTATATTTTCATTTGATTTTTTTTGAATGCAAATCTGCACACTATAAATCAAGCTGTTTAAATTTCAATCTATAATGTGGAAAGCTTAAGATCGAAGCACGAGTGATTGTGGTTCCAAAAAAACAAATAAATAGAAGACTACTGACGTGACAATGCGGCCGACCGACAACGTGACAACTGTGACAAGACAAATCATTAACTTAACACCCTTTATTGGATGAGCAAATGCAAAATAATCCTTGTCAAATCTATTATTTGGCATTTGCAATGTTTTCATTGGTGGTCCGTGAAAGTGGTCCATGGAGGGGTCCGCGGACCGGGGGTCAGTGTTTTCAACCCTCCCTATACATAAAGGAAAACATGCTTATGCTTCTACCTCCCAAAAGATTCCTCTTTTGCCATAAACCAAGCCAATTGGTTTTTCTCTTGTATGCTCCATCATAGGAACTGACTTCGGAGGAGCATCAACAACAAATCCCAAAAATGAGTTATCTGGACTATGAGCTATAGGAAATTGAATTAAAAGGGTAAGGAATTATTATTCTTCTAATACAAATCCAGTGCAATATTTTCCCCAAAATCATATAGTGAAACTTTATATAACTTTTATAGTTATGCAAAGTTAAGTAATGTTTACAACATGAGCGGCCGTGTTGTAAGGGATTTTACAATCTCGAGCAGAAGMCGAGAGATTGTAAAACCCATACAACATGGACGCGAATATTGTTTAATTACTTGTGAAACATTTATGTGTATACATTCATAATCTATTAAAAACTTGAAGATAAAATTGAATTTGGTTGAGAAAATTAGATTTGAAGTTTATGCAAATCAAGACAGTTTTGTATCAAATATTACAAAACTCTTCACTGTTGTGATTTCTATTGTGTTTTCCTCATTAATTATTCATGCATTTTACAAGTTTCAGGGAAATTGTGCACAAATCACATTACAGATAAATGACAACACTACAGGAGAAAACTGAGTAAGGAGAAACACTTTGGGAAAGCCTAACAAAAACCTGACCCTATTCCAGGGGGTGGGTAGGGGGAATAATTCAATAACAAGTGCAGTTTTTTAACATTTTATGATGTAGAGTGT